AAGGAAATTATCAAATACATCTCATAAGCTCAATTATTAAAAGCAGTCAAGATTAAAATATTAAAATGATATCAAAACTATTAGAATTGGTTCATCCATGTTTATAATAAGTCATAAAACCAAGAGTAAATCTATATGGTTTTTCTCATTGCTTATTTCATAATAATAAAACATAACGTGCAGCTGATATAAATGTTACTTATGAATTAGAGTATACGAGACAGTATTCCTTCAGTATGTCTGTGTGTATATTGAACTTTGGTTTTCAGCTTTTAGGAATAACTGAATAATAATAATATATAAATATTCTAGAATAGCTCTAAACATTTTTTGGAAATGATAATCAAAACGTTTCCTATATATTTAATGAAGAATAAAAGAATATGCTATTTAAAAAATAATTACCCCAGAAGCTAAAGCATAATTTTATTTTTGTTAATAAGAGACAGAAAAAGTCAGGATTGAAATATTTCTCTGATTCATAATAGAACTTGATAAAATAAATGTATCAGATACAATAGGCTAGGTCATGCTCCAATAACAAACAACAAATTTGTATAACTTAAAACAAAGTCATATGAATTAAAACAACAATGGTTCATTTCTAATGAAAGCTGTATTTCCATTATGGTGGGCAGAACAGGATCAGCCCCTCATAATGACTCAGGAGCATTGCCTGACAGAGCAATGACTCTGTCTCAGAGGGGAAGGAGAGCTCTGGGAACTTCATCAGGGAAAACAACCACCCTAATCAGAAGGTGATGCTTCACTTCTGCTCATATCTCATTGGCCAGAAAGAGTCACATGGCCCTAACCAATCTCAAAATTCCCATGAAATACAGTCTAGCCAAAGTGGAAGGAAATGGAAAAGATTTGGTGAACTGTATCAGTGATTAACACAACACATTTTAACCTTCATTGAACACCACATACCAAATACAAAATAAAATTATGTATGACTTTTGTACAGTTCATTCCAGTGCAATGTGAAAAATATGAAGGTCCCTGAAAATAATCTGTATAATATTTACAATGATCAGTGTCATGGGTCAGGTGCAGTGGCTCACATTTGTAACCCCAGCACGTTTGGGACCAAGGCAGGTGGATCACCTGAGGTCAGGAGTTTGAGACCAGCCTGGCCAACATGGCAAAATTCTCTTTACTAAAAATATAAAAATTAGCTGGTCGTGGTGGTGGGTGTCTGTAATCCCAATTATTCAGGAGGCTAGGGTATGAGAATTGCTTGAACCCAGGAGGTGGAGGTTGCAGTGAGCCAAGATCATGCCTCTGCACACCAGCCTGGGCAACAGAGTGAGACTCCATCTCAAAAAAACAAAAAAATCTGTCAGAAAGCTCCACTACTTCCGCTGTTTAGAGCTGCTTTTCTTTCCAGATAATGACACATCCTATGGAGAAGTACTGAGAATAGCTGAAAAGAATTGCTTAGGTTTAAACATACAGGAAAAAAAAAAATTGGCTTCAATACTTTCTTCAGTGCTGCTTTGCTCTGCTCTCACTAAACTCTCCTTCAAAAACAATGTATTTTTCAACAGAAGATGGAAGAGATCTGATGATTAAAGGAAAATTACTGTCACTCTCACCACTAACATTCACACAGTACATCTGATTTCAGAAAATCACAACAAATCAATTATCATATTTCTGACAGTCATACTTCACCTCTAAATGGAATATATATATAATGGGAAGGGACATGGAGCCTAAGAAGGGTTGATGGTGCCTCGATTGATCATTAGAGGAAGCTTCCTCCAAAACATTTTTAATTGTCCTTTTGTTTGTCATCCTGGAAAGTATATCCCCACACCTTGGGTGATGGATATACCTTTCTTTTGTAAGCTGCAAGAACTATTGTAAATGCAGAAGTAAAAAAGAACCTACATGATGCTAAGAAAGAGTACTTATGGGCTGGGCGCAGTGGCTCAAGCCTGTAATCCCAGCACTTCGGGAGGCCAAGGCAGGTGGATCACAAGGTCAGGAGTTCAAGACCAGCCTGATCAACATGGTGAAACCCTGTCTCTACTAATAAAACAAAAATTAGCTGGGTATGGTGACACACACCTGTAGTCCCAGCTATTCAGGAGGCTAAGGCAGGAGAATTGCTTCAACCCAGGAGGCGGAGGCTGCAGTGAGCCAAGATCATGGCACTGCACTCTAGACTAGGCAACTGAGCAAGATTCCATCTCAAAAAAAAAAAAAAAAAAAAAAGAGTATTTATGAAAATAAGGTATCTGGCTGGGTGTGGTGGCCCACGCCTGTAATACCAGCACTTTGGGAGGCCAAGGTGGGTGGATCACCTGAGGTTGGGAGTTCGAGACCAGCCTGACCAACATGGAGAAACCCGATCTTTACTAAAAATACAAAATTAACTGGGCAAGGTGGCGCATGTCTGTAATCCTAGCTACTTGGGAGGCTGAGGCAGGAGAATCACTTGAACCTGAGATTCAGAGGTTGCAGTGAGCCAAGATCACACCACTGCACTCCAGCCTGGGCAACAAGAGTAAGACTCCATCACAAAAAACAAAAAAGAAACGAAAAGAAAGAAAAGGAAAGGAAATAGGGTATCTGTAAATTCACTTACTTAAAGCAATAAATATTCCCCTGGCCCTTGGACTATGCCATACCATAAGAACTTAATTGATGCAGCTTTAATTCTTGCTCTTCCTAATGACAAAGAATATTTGCCAAAGAGTATGATGAATAATGAAATCACTTAAAGTGGAGGCTTTCCATTTTACCACAACCTACAGCAAGAAATATATTTACATTATGATTCGATACACATATACATATTGTTTCATGAAATAATAATTACCCCTACTACATGTGATGCATTTTGATATTTTGTATCCTGTCTTTCTTTTAATGCTGATCTCTATTCACTAAATTGATTTCACAGCCAACTAATAATTCACAGCCCATTGGACTATAGAAAACAGAACTATATAAGGCAATATCTGATTTATAGAACAATCTCTGATTATAAAGTATTCTTAAAAATACCTTATCCTGGAGGTATAAGTGAGTAAGCCAAGGTCTGGTGAAGTCAATATCCATACGAGATTCGATTTTATTTTATTAATTTCATTTTTCCATCCCTAATATTCCAACTTTGCTTTTGGTCAGTAACACTCTCTGGCCAATTTCAGGGGCTTGCTCCTTCCATTCCTGTGGTAGGCTGAAACTGTTCCCCAAAGATAACAGATTCTAAACTCTGGGACCTGCAAATGTTACCAAACCTGGGGAAAGGGCCTTCGAAGATGTGATTAAATTAAGGATCTTCAGATTGAGAGAGTATTTTGGATTAGCTCCGTGGGCCCTCAATGCCATTACACATATCCTAAAAAGGTAGTAGTGGGAAATCTGACACATGTAGAGAAGGTAACATGAAGAGGGAGTAGAGATTTGAAGATGTCGGCCTTGAAGTCTAAAGTGATGTGGCCACAAGCCAATGAATGCCAGTAGCAACCAGAAGCTGGAAGAGTCAAAGAACTGATTCTCCCCTAGAAATTCTGGAGGGAACACAGCCCTGTCAATATCTTGATTTTGCCCCAGTGATACTGGTTTTGAATTTATGGCCTCTAGAACTGTGAGAGAATAAATTTCAGTTGTGTTATACCACCAAGTTTGTGGTATTTTTGCTATCACAGCCTCAGGAAACTAATATGAACCCCATAAAATTGACTTAATAAAAGTGATAGTGCAAAGTACCTAAACAGTCACCTGAAACTCTATATACCTAGTTATGTTTCAAGAAAGATTTATGGTAGCTTATAGTAATTCACAAAACACTAATAACACAATTCATAGGTGAAAAGGGAAAAACAAGATGGCTATACAAAACGAAGCCAACAAGGTTTATGCATATATATGTAAAGTATACATATTATACATAATATATATATATAATAGCTCTTGCCTCGAGCCAATTAAAATTTGGCTTTAAAGCAGCAACTTACACGCAAAGGAAGTCTTCTTGTTTATATGATTCAGTGGCCATAGATAAAAACAAGCCAACTCCACAGAAACTAGTACAAAAGACAAGATGAAATTTCTCCCAGGAGTTTTCGTTCCTTAGGACTTCCTTTTCGAACTGTAGCCATGCATAGAATACTCATTACCCCTTTGTAAACGTAAATGTAGTCACTAGACCCAACTTTATAAGGTTTTTTACTATATCATATAGATAAATAACATGTCAAAACTTGATAAAAGCAAATTCTATAGCATAGATTGATTAGACGTCAAATTCTAACTTAAAAGTAAATTCTGTAGGAGGAAAGAGGGTGTAAATACAATACCCTGTAGGTAGGTATATTTTGGAATATTTATGAAATACCTTGAACGATGCTCAGAAAACGAGTACTGTTTCCTCGGCCAAACTATCAAACATTGAGTATGTCCTGCATACAATGCCTATGGGACGTGGCTTGCTTGAAAACATTTAATATGGACTGACATACAGTGTTTTCTACAATCTGCCCAGCGATGTCTAGATAACATCCGAGGAGGCAAGTGTTCCATCCCTACTCCCTGAAGAAGCTCCTGGGCCACTGGGGAAAAGTGCCCCTAACCCAGCGTAGGGGTAATAAGGAAGGCTTACGCCAAGTGATCCTATTTAACTATTAGAGGATAAGCAGATAGATGAAAGGGGAGGGGAATGGCGCCGGAGGTTGGTCAGAAAGACCACAGAGCATACGCATCGCCGTTGCTTCCGAGCTTTTAGGGGCAGGTCTGGAGCCATTCCCAACAAAATCTACTACTGAACCCTGCAAGCCCTTCCGAGAGAGACAGTCCTCCCTGACACTCCTCGGCCCACCACCTCCCGGGGTCCACCGCACAGGCGGCGGCGCTAGCCTCACTGCGCAGGCGCCAAGTCCACCTCGGCCGCCACGAGAGGGGGCGATAGTAACTCTGGGTCGTTCACTAGGGCTCTGCTCTGGCCGCCAAGCTTCCGTTTCTCTACTGCTCCCCGTAGTAGCAGCCCGCGCCAGCTGGGACCCGGATAGGGGGCGGGTCTTCCGGGACGAGGACGCATGGGTGAGGAAGGTCAGGTCCAGGTAAGGCTGTGGGTGATTTTGGGGGTCTGCAGTGAGGGGCGATGGCAATAGATATCTACGGGAGTCTCCAGCCTTGTAGAGTCGCCAGGAATAGGAGGAATCCATTTCATTAGTGACCAGCTCGGGCGGTTCACGTACCTCACACAAATAACTTGGCCTTTTCCTGCTTCGTTTGGGGGATTTGTTAAACGAAGGACACCCGCGTTACTGCTACCGCAGTTTCCTCTCCGGCGCAGTTACACTCTTCCAGATTGCTTAACAGTAGAAGGCTCAGTTTCTCTGCTCACCACACGGCCTTCTGCACTGTAGCTTTGGGTGGTGGGCTGCAGATTAATTTTGTGACCACCTTAAGAACAAGACAGCAAGGTGATATTTAAGAAAAATATTTGCGAAATGCGCTCCCAAGTCAAATGTCGGTTTACTTGACAGTACTACAGTTCACATCACAGCCAGGCATGGTCGAGTCAGGTGGAGGGAGGTGATGATTGTTCTTGCTGAACTGAATGCAGCTAATACGTTTTCAATGCCGTTGATGCCTCTATGACCCCGTAAAATAATCGGTACCGGGCTTTTTAAGCATTCTGTTTAGATTGTTTTTATGTTTAGACTGTTTCTATGACAACATGTGTACACTGTATGTGAGTTCCTTGGTTCCTAATGATTATTAGGGTAGGCACTGTGCCGTGAGTTTTGCATGTTAGCCTCACAGCACAGGTAGTATGACTGTCGTGTAGTCGATGAGAGAACCTGGCAGAGGATAAGCACCATTACAAAAACGTCGTGGCCATTAAAAGGCAGAAGCGAGACTCCTACCAGCTTTTTTCTTCTGCAGGTGGTGCGTTCTGCTAACCAATGGTTTTTGAGAAAATGGAGAAAGCTCTCTCAGAACAATTTACACACACACACACACACACACACACATACATACACATATCAGCGTACGGATTTACACTTCCAGTTTTCAAAACGCTGAAGCACACCCATATTAAGAACTCTTGCACTTCATCTTTACCTTTCAAAGAGAAAAGGCAAACCTAATACAAAGCTACTTAGTGAAATAAACTTGATCTTTTCAATGCATCAGACCTATCGAAAAGATCAAAGAAGTTTGCCCTTTTATGCCAAAGTAAAAATATGGGAATTTTCTTCTCGTGGGCTTATTTTTCTCAGCACATTTGAGTAATTTGGTTTTGCTTAGCATTTTCAGCTCCAGTTAACTTTTCTTCATGATATTACAGTTTTCTTTGGTTCACATTTTTAAAAAGGTAACACTTAAAATGACTTGTTTTGTACTCTCTGAGAATGGTTTCATGTGAATCAAATGTAATTGACATGCAAATAAAGTTCCCTTGTCATTCTTCATGAGAGACATGTGTCCGTTCACTGTGGAAGGAAACGACAAAGCAATGTCACTGCTAATCGTTAAAACCACTTTCAGTTTCCTCTTGTTTAGCAAGTGGGCCTTTGTTTCCAGTAAGGGATTCAGGTTTTCCCCTTTCTCCAACATAAAATTTTAGGACTTAGATTTTATGATGCAACCATGTTCCAGCAGATTCTAATGTGACCTTTTTACTTACAAGTTATGTATCCCAGTAATTTGCCACATTCCGAAATGGGCATGGAGATAATAGCATTCTGTGATGGCTTCAGTGACTACTGCCCTACTGAGTTCCCTCCTCCTCCTGGCTACCTTTGTAAGTGAGGTCATCATTCCAGGGAGGCACTAAGTTTTACTATCTGGAGTATGTCTGTCTCTGTCTCTCTCTTTTCAATGTGATTAAGAACAAGGAATAAACAAATGTGTCTGTGTAGAACATATGAACACCGGACTTACAGTTCTAGGTTCTTTCTTTTTTGTAAGTTACCATTTACTGAGTGCCACTGTTACTTATTCTCACAGGAGTCCTGCAAGCTTTGTTTTCAGAAAAGGAAACTCAGATTTAGAGGGGATGAGTAACTGTTCACAACAACCCAAGGATTAAGTGACAGAGCCAGTAGTCAAACCTAGACCTCAGGACCCCTTGTTGCCCCTTTATTTACAAATAAAGTGACTTGGAATTCAGAACATATTTTCCTGAAAACACTGTCACAAAATGATAGTTCCCAGACCAGCTCACAAATAACTAACTGTGGAAATACCATGCGATTACAACAGAAATGTATTCTGATGCCACAATGGTAATTAAGCAAAACAAAGCAAGTTGATGAAGAAACTGTTGTTTTTTAATCTAGTGTTTTGAAAAAGATAACTTTAAAGGGCAAAGGAAGAGAAAAAGCATGCAAAGAAACTTGGTGACTTCCTGACATTTGCAAGGCTTTTTAGAGGTTTATGGCACTTATTTGTTTACACATTAAACTGTTAAATGACTTTTCACCTTGCGAATATAACCCTAGACCTAACAACCCCACCCCGAACCAGAATTGGGAAAGAAGTGAATCAGGGAACTGAGAATGCTGAATGGAAAAGAAAGAACAGGCTTGTAGGTCATGAGATGCTGGGGAGTGGACCTTGGATCAGACAGTTCTACCATTTCCAGCCTTCAGGTGGCACTATTGACCCAAGATTGCTTAGCTGGTGTTCTGAATGGTTTTGAGGTTGACAATTTGAGATCAGCCTCTGCTTTTTTTTTTTTTTTTTTTTTTTTTTTTTTTTGAGACACAATCTTGCTCTGTCACTCAGGCTATAGAGTACAATAGTGCAGTCATATCTCAGTGTAACCCTCAAATTCCTGGCCTCAAACAATGCTCCCACCTCAGCATCTACAAGTAACTGGGACTACAGTTGTGCACCACCATACCAGACTAATTTTCTTTTCTTTAATTTTTTTTTCTGTAGAAACAAGGTTTCACCATGATGCCTGGGCTGGTCTTGAAGGCCTGGCCTCAAGCAATCCTCCCACCTCAGCCTCTCAAAGTACTAGGATTATAGGCATGAGCTACACCATGCCCAGCCTCCTCTGTTAATGGATCTTGAAATAGGCATTAAAACTTCCTTGATTTAAACAAGGTTTGTTTACTTGCAAGAACTATTTTGAAATTTGCTTGGCACAGTTTTTAAGTAGGAGGGTTTTTTGGTACTCCTCCAATTGGTTTTTCAAGGTTTATGCCTTTTTCCTGCTTGAATATCAGCACCTTTTCATCTCAGCTGAACTGTTTCCCAGGATAGCCTTTGAGTCAGCAAAGATTGTCATCTCACTACTAAAATTTCTCATAAATTGGCATATTCTGCCAACAATAACCCCTACATCTGGTTTAAACTGAGTTGAGATATTTATTCCACCAGCAGCTTTCTTGATTTTTATGTATTCCCTGTATACTTTTTTATATCTATTAGCTGTAATTTGTGCATATCACGGATATCATTCATATACCTGTTTCAGTGTTGTGTGCCTCTGAAGAAAAAGCTACTGTTTTCAGCTGATAAAAAGTTAGCTAGTTTGCATTAAAGCAGAATATATAAGATGGAAGCAACCTCACAATTCATACATGCCTTCTGTTTTTAAGAAAGTGAATCTTTTGAGCTATTGGATTTATTTCTATAGGGCTACTGTCTATTTGTTTTTCCCAAATGGCTCTCAGTCTCTAGGCAGACTTTACTTCAGTAACCTAGAAGCCGAATGACCTCATAACTCATTAGCAGTTCTCAGAGCCATCTGGAGCACTTGAGGAGAACAGTGTTCAAAGGACTGTAGTAAAAACAACAGCATAATTATGTCTCTGCCATGATTACACCTTTTGATGGCAAGCAGTCAGCATATTAATGCTGCAGATTGCCTAGGTGGGTGTTTTCTGAAGGTATAATAATGCTGGACTAGGATAACTTGTTTCCCTGTCTTCTTCATCCCCAGCCTACAAATACGTAAACAGTCAGTCGGTTAACCTGGTGAATTACAAAATAGTTGGTTGTGAAAGAGGCAGTACAGCAAGGAAGTAACAGCATATAAACAGAATGCAAAAATCGCAGATGTCAAGCATGGGAAGGAAATAGCCATTTGAACTGTGGCTGTTCTCCACTCTAAGGCATATCCTGCTAACACTGCACTCATCCCTGAGTGGTTTGCTGTGTTTTCATTTTCTAAAGTATTTATTAGATAATCTTGGCATTTCTGACCGTAACCTGTATCTTTCTTCTCATTTTCTATAGGAACTCTAACTCCTTGCCACTCAAGAAATGTCCCCCCTTTCAGAATATGCCTTGCGCATGTCTCGTCTCAGTGCTCGGCTATTTGGTGAAGTTGCCAGGCCTACTGATTCCAAGTCTATGAAAGTGGTGAAACTGTTCAGTGAACTGCCCTTGGCCAAGAAGAAGGAGACTTATGACTGGTATCCAGATCACCACACTTACTCTGGACTCATGCGGACACTCCGACTTCTGGGACTCTACAGGTGATGACAAACACAAAGAGGGATATATGAGAGGCTTTTTTTTTTAAATAGATCAGAAAAGGAAAAAAAAAAATTAGCCTTTCTTATACTAGAGCCCAGGTAGCTCAAAACGTACAGTTTGCAGGAGAAAGGCTTCTTTCAAAATACCCATAACGGAGAGACCAAAAAAAAAAGGAAAGCCATGCTTGTTGGAAGACATATTTTAATTATGTCTACAACATGACTAATGTTGAATAGATACTGAGCTGTAGAGAGCTGTTTAACAATCGTTAATCTAAGAGCACTCTAAAAAGGATGTAGAGAGGCCGGGTGCGATGGCTGTAATCCCAGCACTTTGGGAGGCCGATGTGGGTGAATCATGAGGTCAAGAGATGGAGACCAGCCTGACCAACATGGTGAAACCCCCTCTCTACTAAAACTACAAAAATTAGCTGGACGTGGTGATGCACACCTGTAGTCCCAGCTACTCAGGAGGCTGAGGCAGAAGAATCACTTGAACCTGAGAGGCAGAGGTTGCAGTGAGTGAAGATCGCATCACTGCGCTCCAGCTGGCGACAGAGCCAGATTCTGTCTTGGCGGTTGAGGGGGCAGGGGAGATGCAGTAAAAGCCCCAGAAACACCAAGGCTTCCAGGGCAGTGGGCTCTTGTTATCAGATGAACAGAGTGTTTCTGACCCACACCTGATCTGCTTCGTAACTGGTATGTGGAGCCTTTTTTCTCTTCTGGTGGCATTTTTGTTGACATTCTTATTTCTTCCTACTCTTTTCTGGCATTTTTCTTTTGTATACTTTTTGATATATTAACTTGGTCTTGATAAGCTGTAGTTTGCCTTTAAGGATAATATGTAAATCACACAGGCTCTTAATACCATGTGTTGGTACTAGGAAGTAGGTGCTTAGGACTGTATGCCTCTCTAGAAAGAAAAAAGATCAGGCCAGGCACGGTGACTCATGCCTGTAATCCCAGCACTTTGGGAGGCCAAGGCAGGCAGATCACATGAGGTCAGGAGTTTGAGACCAGCCTGGTCAACATGTTGAAACCCTGTCTCTACTAAAAATACAAAAAACTATCTGGGCATGGTGGCATGCGCCTGTAATTCCAGCTACTTGGGAGGCTGAATCAGGAGAATTACTTGAACCCAGGAGAGGGAGGTTGCAGTGAGCTGAGATCATCCTACTATACTCCAACCTGGGCAACAAAGCAAGACTCTGTCTCAAAAAAAAAAAAAAAAAAAATCAAATACCTATGTAATCATTTTCATTAAATTATTTTTTTGGCCAGGTGTGATGGCTCACACATGTAATCCCAGCACTTTGGGAGGCCAAGGCAGCTGACCACTTGAGATCAGGAATTTAAGACCATCCTGGCCAACATGGTGAAACACTGTCATACTGAAAATACAAAAATTAGCTAGCCTTGATGGTGCATGCCTGTAATCCTAGCTACTTGGGAGGCTGAGGCAGGAGAATCACTTGAACTCAGGAGGCAGAGATTGCAGTGAGCCGAGATCACACCACTGCACTCCAGCCTGGGCAACAGAGAGAGACTCTGTCTCAAAAAAAAAAAGAAAAAATATTATTTTTTTATATATGTTCATTACAAAGAATTCAAATAGTACATAATTGTATAAAGTTAAAATACCTACCATCTTATTAAAAATGTAACAAGTTGTAATTGGACTTGTTTTGGGTAACAATACAAAAATTATTTGGAACCGCTTATTCTAATACAATAAAATTAATAGTGCAGAATGACATTCATTCCAGATAGCTAAAGATTGGTACATTCACTATCCAATGGATGTTTTTTAAGTACCTTCCATGTGCAGGCACTTAAGATGGCACTAGGGGAATAGCAGTGAACAAAATAGATTTGCTTGGCTAACGTATTATTAGAGGTTATCATCTATATCTATGATATGTTTTGAATGTTTGGAATTGCTTTGGGACTAACTCCAGGCTTAGAAAATAACAACTAATTTTATTATAACTCAAAATAAAATATTGTGAGACAGATATCCTGAATAGAAGATTATAACCCATGAAAAAATCAGATTCAGTTATTTTAATTTATCTGTTTGCTGCTGCTCTCTGTTTGTTTGAAAAAATAAAGACTTAGCTATCTTTGGAGACAGGGAAAAACTACTTTATCCATAGAAAAGCAGAATTATTTTCATGTACTCATTAGATATAGTAAATGGCACCTCTAAGATGCTAGACCTCCTATGGTATCAGGCAGGATGAAACTAGACAGTCTCCAATAAAAAAAATACTATTCAGAGACCTGCACAAGAGGGAGGGAAGTACCAGTTCTCAGAAACAATTGATTCATTCAGTTAACCAGGTGCCTTGCTTATATCATCATCAACAGAGACAGAGTCGCCAGAAAGCTATCTTTCTGTCCAACGGCTGATGAGAATGAGGGAGGGGGAGAAGAAGGGAAGGAAAAATAATAATAATAAGTATATTATATGATCTGTTACAAAGTTGAACGTACTATGGAAAATAATAGTAGAGCCAGCTGAACAGGATCCAGAGTGCTGACAGGGCCTGCAGTGGGTGGGGAGAGGCCGAGTTACAAGATGAAACAGGGCAGTCAGTATCAGCCTTGTTGGGGAGTTGAGGTTTAAGCAGAGGCTTGAAGGTGGCGAGTGAGCCGAGTAGGACTTGGGGAAGAGCTGGCAAGGCAGAGGGGCAGGAGCACAGCAAAGGCCTTAAGGTGGGAGTGTTCCGTTCCAGAAGGAGTGCAGGCTACTGGGAGGGTGTGGGACTGGAGACAGATTGCAAGGGTCTGTGAGGCCATAGTAAGGATGATGGCTTTTGCTCTGGGTGAAATGGGGAACCATTTCCAGGGCTATGAACAGGAGTGGCATGATCTGACATTTTGGAAGAATTACTCCAGCTGCACTGTTGAGAATTGTTTGGGGATACTCACCACTAACCCCAAAGAGTTGTGTACTGTCCATGATGTTCATGGATAGCCTAGAGAGTTAGAAATTAAGCTCAGCAAACCCCGCTCTTAGATTTGATTCATGCACTCTTATTATCCATACTTTACAGGTGAGGAAATTAAGGTGCAGGGAGGTAAGGTCACTTTTTCAAGGTGACAGAGCTAGTAAATGGTGGAGCTGTGATTTGAACCCAGGTTCACGTTCCAGAGCTTACATGTTTAAACACCGTACCATTCTTTAGGTATCTGGGCTTAAGATGTAGACTTCTTTTACAGCATGAGCAGTCTTCAACTTCTACACCATCCACATACTTACATAGTCCTGGGTGCCTTGATTCCTTTAGTATCTTTTGATTTGGCTTCCTTCTGCCTGAGCCTTTCCCCAGCAGCCTTTTTGTGTGAGCCACCCACTGCCATTAAGGTTTCACCATGTTGGCCAGGCTAAGCTTCCTCTGGACCTCACCCCATTCTTAGTAGATACTAGTTCCTAGGGCAGTAAGGGTCTCTGTGTAGCTATTGAAGCTGATACCCAGTTTTTCTCCTCTCTGTGTTTAGTCTTAGTGCTGCAGGGAAATTGGGAGTAATCATTAGTGTTGTGTCATTGTTATGTAGGTTTACATGAGCTGGCCTGAGAATTTCATTGCAGCTTGTGGCACTGTTTCTGTGAGGGGAAACATACTAATAAGTGAACTTTTGGAATACACCGCATCTGCATGTTAGGGACCCCCTGTACTTTTTGTTCACCAAGCTGAGCATGTGGACATCTTATAAAAGTCAAAGATTGATAACCAGAATGACCTAAGAGAGCAGTGCTAGACTGGTATACTTTTCTTTTTTTTTTTTTTTTTTTTTTTTTTGAGACGGAGTTTCGCTCTTGTTACCCAGGCTGGAGTGCAATGGCGCGATCTCGGCTCACCGCAACCTCCGCCTCCTGGGTTCAAGCAATTCTCCTGCCTCAGCCTCCTGAGTAGCTGGGATTACAGGCACGAGCCACCATGCCCAGCTAATTTTTTGTATTTTTAGTAGAGATGGGGTTTCACCAGGTTAACCAGGATGGTCTCAATCTCTTGACCTCATGATCCACCTGCCCCGGCCTCCCAAAGTGCTGGGATTACAGGCTTGAGCCACCGCGCCCGGCGCTATACTTTTCTACTCTTGTAAAAACAACTGGTTAATTATGTTTTCCTTCTTCATTCAGAGATGAGCATCAGGATTTTATGAATGAGCAAAAACGACTAAAGAAACTTCGTGGAAAGGGGAAACCAAAGAAAGGAGAAGGAAAAAGAGCAGCAAAAAAGAAATAATATTGGTCCCTCAAGAGGGAGAATTTCTTCCTCAGTGACAGAGAGAAGAAAGTGCGTTTATTGTCTTTCCACATATTGGAGGAATGTCATCTTCCTAAATGAAGGTTATTTGGAGGAACACAGTCATATTCTTCTAATCCAGTTAAATTGTGGCTGGTTTCTTGAACACGTTCTAACTGTGCAAAATTATTTTGGCCTTGGCCACGTAATGTGACGTTTACCTAGTTCTCTAATGAAATGAATAAATAAGTTATTGTTTGATGATTTGTTTGGGGTGGGGTGGGATGGTGGGGAATGGAGGGGACCTTTGCTGAGTGAGCATCCTGTGGTGTCCTCGGTTCTCCCTTCTTGCTTCCTCACACAGCCCTAACGTCTTCCATCTCGGCCCGTCAGCCACTGTCTCCACCACCAAGCTCACAAACTTTCTGTGCCTCTTCACCTACTCCTTTGAGAAATCTATTAAGATGAATTTGTAGGGTAAATATCTTTTAAAAGGAAGTATTGTATACCTGCTCTATACAAGATACTGGGGCCGTGGTAATACAAGTGGTTAGCAAGAGAAATACTCCCTACCTCGTATAAGTTTCAGTCTTACGGGAGGGAATTAATTACATACAATTGTGTGTACTACATAATTACATATAATTGTATTACATGCTACAAAGGAAAAAGTCAGGCTCCGTAAGAGCATGCATGCATGGATGGATGGATGGATGGATGGATGGATGGATGCAGAGAAAGATAGCCAGAAGCCCAAACCACATTAGGGAATTTAAAGAAAGCTTCCCTAAAGAAATGATATTTAAGCTGAAGTATAAATAAGAGGTAGCCAAAAGGAAAATGGTGAGGAAGGTGTTTGAGGCAGAGAGTACCATTTCCATAGCCCTAAGATATGAAGAAATTGTCTGTTCAAAGAATACTGACTTGTTGGCTGGGTGCAGTGGCTCACACTTGTACTCCCAGCACTTTGGGAGGCCAAGGCAGGTGGATCACGAGGTCAGGAGTTGGAGACCAGTCTAACCAACATGGTGAAACCCCATCTCTACTAAAAATACAAAAATTAGCCGGGCATGGTGGCACATGCCTGTAATCCCAGCTACTCAGGAGGCTGAGGCAGGAGAATCACTTGAACCCGGGAGGTGGAGGCTGCAGTGAGCTGAGATCACACCACTGCACTCCAGCCTCAGTGACAGAGCAAGACTCCATTTAAAAATAAAAGAACACCGACTTGTTCATGGTTGGCCATAAGAAAATAGAGGCCGGATCATGAAGGGCTTTGCAAAATCTGTGACAAAGCTTGAACATAACCAGAAGTTATTTTTCTGAGAGATGACTGTTGAGTAGATTTGAGTAGCTCACTGCTGGTTTTATTGTATTCCAGCAATGAGTTTCCAAAGAAATTGTGAGGCCTTCTCTGATTTTTTTTTCCAAGAGTTGTTCTAATTCTTTAGCATGTCCAGTAAATTTTTTAATAACCTCTTTTATTGTGGTAACAACATAAAATTAGTGATCTTAATCACATTTAAGTGTACAGTAGTGTCAACTATATGCATGTTATTGCACTGAAGTACTTTTAACCCGTTTCTACTTCTCAGGTAAAGAGAACAAAGTGCATAGGCAGGAGTATGTATAGTATGTATGATTTCTGAAGTAGAAAGAATTCCAGTACATATGTTTAAATGAATGTTACTTTCAAAGATACCTAATCCAGATAGTATGCCTAGGGCCTATTTTATAGCCTGTTTTTTTAAAAAAAAGAACTAAACTAAAATTGGGTGGTTTGTATCTGATAGAAGTGAATTCCTAACAGCTTGATGGTGTCTAAAAAAAATTAAATTTAAAAAGAAGTGAATTCCAGCAGAAGGCTTGAGAATTCATTCATTTAGAACTTTTTACTGAGCACTTGCTATGTGCCTGACACATAATAGGTTTAGAGGATACAGAGACAAATAGACTTAGTCCCTAAGATTGTGTGAATGAGCATGTGTGTGTTACAAAATCTTGGCAAGATCTCAGAAATGTGCTTAGAAAAGTGCAGATGCACTGTTATTCTTGGCCAATGCAGCTGAGCCAGGTGTAGGTGGATGATTACCCCAGGATGTTGGACTGAGAAACAAGCTCTGAGCCTGACCCCAGTGTAGCTAAGTAGATGTTTGAATTATGTGATCTCCAGCTTTTGGAAAAGATCTGAATGTAAGAGGAACTTAAGAGAATTCGCAGATAATTTAAAGAGCATAACTGCATTACATTCTAACAGCAGACTTGAGTCAGAAAACAAGTAAAGAATTGATGTATTGGTTTGCCAATGGAAGAGCGTCAGTGAGATCTCAGACCCTGATCCCGCAGTGAGCCTTAGCAATGGTTGACAGGGAAGTTTGTAGATAATGCAGCAGTAGATCAGTGTGCCACTGCTCCAGGCTGAAAATCGGAAATGAAAGCTAAAATATATTTGTACATAAGCTATACCTTCAACTGATAGAGCAAGCTGTGTGACTCAAAACAGCCTGTCCAGAACTACGATGGACCAGCTAGGACATATTAATAGAAGATAAGGAAAAATTAACTCTTGACAGCAGGGAAGTCAAATTTTAGGACACCAGTGATCAAGGGTTAAGATGAAGACTAAGTGTATTCAGAAAAAATCTTTTAACTCCAAATTTAGACTAGCTAGTTTGTTTAATTGGATTTCTCTGGTCAAAACCTAAACTGTTGGTGCTTTCTGATGTTTGGCGATTCGTGTGCATAGGCCATTTTGCCTTCAATCTCAGCATAACATAGTAAAAAGACTGGGTTTTAGATTCAAAAGTATAGGTTTGTGACATAGTGTACCTACTGGTTATGTGACCTTAATTCAGTCACCTTCTTTGAACCTCTTTCCTTCTCTTTAAAATCATAATACTTGATTGGATTAATGAAATAAGATATTTGTGAAGAGGACTCTGTAAATTACAAAAAGCTAAAAACTTCTCTGGGAGCGGTGGCTCACGCCTGTAATCCTAACACTTTGGGAGGCTAAGGTGGGTGGATCACTTGAGGTCAGGAGTTCAAGACCAGCCTGGCCAATATGGTGAAACCCCAACTTAAAAAAAAAAAAAGTTAAAAACTTTTACATATAGTGTACTGTGTGACTAGTAGTACCGCTGTATCTTACTAGCACGATTTTTGTAGCAGCGTTGACACATAGCTGCTAAAAATATAAAGTTCCCCACAGTTACAAGCAGCATGATAGGTTCAGGAAGAGGAGGTAGATGAGAGGTAACATCTTATTATTTATGTAATTTTGGGCTCCAGAAGTTTATTTTTTTAAGCACCATATATGTGTGTGTTTCAAGACAAACATAAGGCATATATTTATAATGCTTGTATTTGTAAATCATCTTCCAAGAAAGAATAAATCAAAATTTGAAATTCCGCCTGCTTCATCCTGTCTCTCTTTTATCACACATTTCTCCCAAACTCCTGTGTGCCTAATTTTAGAGATTTAGAGCAGGGAACAAACCTCAGGAGCAATAAATAGGGGGGAACATCTGTTATCCTGCCAACCGTGTCTTCATGGCTTTTCTTAAGTACTCAAGAAAAGCTCAGAAGAAAGCATTTCTTTAAAAAAAAAAAAAAAAAAAAAAGAATCAGCAAAACAAACAATATTACATTCAAGAAGACTTAGATAAAACAGAGAGACTGTCCAGCCCTGGATATTAAGATAACTGGGAAAACAGTAAAACATTTATGCTGAACATAAAACAGTGAAATGTTTTTTAAATGCCATAAAGGCAGCAAAATGGAGAGAAGGGTTATAAAACTACCCAGATGCAATTTTGTAACTTTATTGGAGACAAGGCAATATTACAAGTTCACATTAAAGTAGAGACTAGAGTTAAACCAATGTAGCTTCTAAGACCTTTTTCATTCTACTTAAGGAAATGTGTGTTTTCTGAAAGGATGGATTCGTTTACGGAGAACTTTGTGTCTCTGATGCAGAAGACTGAGCTCCACCTAGCACTGTCTCAGTAAGACAATCTAAATCAGTGCTCAATGCAGAATCATTTTCCTGATAGAGCCACACAACTATTGATTGGCCCTTTGAGTTTAAAATAAAAACTAATCTAAACAGAAATTGAAAGTTTTAGGATACAGATAAATCTAAAAAGAGCTCCAGTTTGAAAATATCTGAGAAATGGCCAGTGGGTTAAGTACTGAACTAGTAACAAGTTAATATTTAATAAGGGAGTTAGAGATAAAAGAGGTCAATGTTTGCATCATCAGGAATGACTTCCCAAGCAGGAAAGCAATAAATGCAGATAAGGCCAGCATTTCTGGAGTGTTTAATACATTGTGCTTTGTAGGCTATATCTTATTTGGCCCCCCGATATGATAAGTATCCCCATTTTGCAGATGAGGAGACCGAGGCCAAGATTACACAGCTATAAATGTCTAGCCATCAAAGTCCCAGTTAGCCATCGAAGTCCCAGTGTCTTCATGACCTGGTGATGTAGTTCTAATCTCTTGAGTATCATTATATCAGTATCATTTGTCAAGTGCTTCACCATTTGCTAGACACCCTGCTTCACTTTTTTTTTTTTTTTTTTTTTTTTTTTTTTTTTTTTTTTTTTTTTTTTAGACAGCATCTGGATCTGTTGCCAGGCTGGAGTGCAGTGGCACAATCTCAGTTCATTGCAACCCCTGCCTCCTGGGTTCAAGTGATTTTCCTGCTTCAGCCTCCCAAGTAGCTGGGACTACAAGCGCTTGCCACCACATCCAGGTAGTTTTTATTTTTAGTAGATGGGGTTTTGCCATGTTGGCCAGGCTGGTCTCAAACTCCTGGCCTCAAGTGATCCACCCACCTCAGCCTCCCAAAGTGCTGGGATTATAGGCATGAGCCACCTGGCCTGCTTCACTCTTACTGTAAGTTATATCAATCCCTACAACAGCCCTAAGTATTATTTCCCCCCATTTTATACACAAGTTCAGAGCTGTGGTTCTCAACTCTGATTATGCATTAGAATCAGGATCCCTGTCACTTGTCCCACTCCAGACCAATCGTAATAGGAGTGGACAGAGAAAAGCTCCTTAGGTGGCTCTACTGTGCAGCCAAAGTTAAGACATATGGTTTAACACGTTATTTCTCAAACTTAAGTATTCATCAGTATCATCTTGAGGGTTTGTTCAACATAAATGGCTAAGCCCCACTCCCAGTTTTCTTACTCAGCTGGTCTCCAGCAGGGCCTAAGAATTTGTAGTTGTAATAGGTTCCCAGATGTGGC